ACTGCTGTGTACCACTAGCAGGTTTTCAGTATCGCCATCCTTGCTATGACATCTGTTTGTCATCATCACTGCCCATCCTACTGCTATTGTTGTCATGACTGTTTTTTTTTTTTTTTTTTTTTNNTTTCAGAGTATCGTCTTTGGGTTTAAAGTTAAACCATTGTCAGGATCATCAGGATTTCCCTCGTCAAACAGGAATCGTCGTCATCCTCACTGTGGTGGTCGAGTCTGAGGGTTGGTTGCAAGTGCGAAGCCTTCGAGTTGCAGCTTTCAGGGTCCCGGGTACTATATTAGGCTTTGTATAATACGGATCCTATTATTTAGGGTACTATATTCGGCTCTTCATAATAAGGATCCTATTATTTAGGGTACTATATTCGGCTCTTCATAATAAGGATCCTATTATTTAGGGTATTATATTCGGCTCTTCATAATAAGGATCCTATTATTTAGGGTACTATATTGGGGTCCTGGACATGAGGCAAACGCCCCCAGGGAAAAGGCGAAACTTAGCCGCGGCCAGGCTCAGCCTCTCGCTCCGCTGGGACTCGGAGGCGCGGGCGAGGGAGTCCAAAGCAGACACCTTAGGGTTTAGGGTTTAGGGATGTTTAGGGTTTAGGGTTGGAGTTCCATGTAGCTCTTGCAAGCTGATGTACTCCTGCAGTTCTAGCCCCGGATGCCTTTTTGATCAAAGCTTGTGAGGACGCACGCCGCGGAGATCACAGTCGCATCCCACGGTGCAGGCGCCTCAGGCCAAGAGGTCCAGGATGCAGGGCAAAGATGCCCCAATGATCGTAAGCAGAGGCGCTCTGCATATCTTGAAAGCGACTTGGAGGAACGTAGCTTCAAGACCTTCCAAAAGAAGAGGAAGTAGATCGGTTCGCCGGTGGCTCCGGCAGTAATCGTCCTGATCATCCGGTCCGAGGATCTCCAGCCGAACCCCGCAGAACTGAGGTCGCTGCCGCCTTGGCGGGACCGGCGGGAGGGCAGGCCGTGGGGAGCAGCGGTGACACGACTACTTTGACTGCAGCATAGTAGCAGTTACAGTTTGCAAGCATAGCATCTCCATTGCAAAGCGGCTGCTCGCACCGGCAGGTGTCGCAACTCGGCGCCGGTTCTGGGCACTGCGCTCGGGAATTCTAATCATCTTGTTTGCGCCGCTGACGTTCGGACACCGTCCGGCTGCCGCCCACAAGGCTTTATATCCCATCGAACGGCGTCGCTGACGCCCAGGCTGCAGCCGGAACCTCAGTGCAGTCCTACTACAGGATGTAGCTGAGACGAGGGCGATCACAGGGAGCAGCCACACAAAGGCTGCAACTGTTGCTCGCTTGCGTGCGCAACAAAGATGCATTACTGTCTCCTTCAAGTGTGAGGCCCACAGATGAAATGTCCGTGGGGGATGATGGGCCCTCAGATGTAAATTCAAATGTTCTGTCAGAAAGCAGCAGCACTGTCAGATGAGATGGATCAGTTTTCTGAGAGCATTTGCAGCCTTAAACCCTAAAGCCCTAAAACCTTAAGCCCTAAAACCCTAAACCCTAAGACCTTTAAACCCTAAAACCCTAAACCCTAAGACCTTTAAGTCCTGAAACCCTAAACCCTAAGACCTTCAAACCCTAAAACCCTAAAACCCTAAGACCTTTAAACCCTAAAACCCTAAACCCTAAGACCTTTAAGCCCTAAAACCCTAAACCCTGAGACCTTTAAGCCCTAAAACCCTAAACCCTGAGATCTTTAAGCCCTAAAACCCTAAACCCTAAGACCTTTAAACCCTAAAACCCTAAACCCTGAGACCTTTAAGCCCTACAACCCTAAACCCAAAAAGGTTGCTCCTGGGAACTTGCGGCTCTTGGCGAGGGAGCCGAGCCACGCCGACACTCTTTGGCTCCCGGGATTTCGCTGCAAACATAGGGTTTAGGGGTTTAGGGTTTAGGTTTGGGTTCAGGGTTTAGGGTTTTGGGTTTTAGGAACCTTGCTATGTACTGCTGGTACTCTAGCAAGCATATTCCGTCTAAAGCACCGCAGCACCCCGGTTCTGCAAACCTGGATGCTGAGCTGAAGACTCGAGGAGCCCGAATGGTTCCAAAGCTTCCCAGGTGCAAAAAGGAGGAGACCCTAAACCCTAAACCCTAAACCCTAAATGCTTTCATGAAAGCAGATCCGATCTTGCTCTCCTCTCTTCTCCCTCTGCCCCCGGAGCCAGGCGACTGGAAGCCGCGGGGACTGCGCCGGAATCTGAGAAAGGTAGAGGCCACTATGGATGTAGGGTGGCAAGGACCAACGACGTGAGGCATAGTTGGCTTAACCAAGGGGCTTTGGAGACGTTTCCAAACAGAGATGTGCTTGCGAGGAGCACAGGGCACTCGCTGAATGTTGGGTTTTGCCCGGTGTCTGCTTCGTTGTTTCGTCGGTCGTTCCTGGAAGATCGGCCGAGGTCAGTGCCACTCTGCTCGCTGAACGCCGCCCTTACCGTGCCAAAGTTGCCGGGAAAGACGTCTGCTGCCGGCTGCAGGTACCGTGCGGGAGGAAAAGCTTGCGATGGCTTCGCACTGAGAGTCCCCGCTACCGCCGTGCTGAACCGGTTTGCAACCGCAACGCATCTACGAAGTCCAAAATTCTGTGCTGCCGTGTTGCGGGGTCGTAAAAATGGCGAGTACACAGGCAGTCTGCCCAACGAAAGTACGGGTGATTCTGCTTCGGGTGCATCATTGATTGCGACCGCAAGCAAGAGAAGGGCATGCACTGGTTCGTCCCGGACGCTGCTTTGCATCAAACGGATGGCTGTCACTCGTTCCTTCTGTAGTCTGTGGTTTGTTTTGATTGTTTCGTAGTAAAGGTTAGACTCAGTTAGACAATGTTTTTGTGACACGTTGATGAACCATGAGCCGAAGAAAATGGAAACCGACGACGGAGAAGCACACGAGCTCTGCAAGTGTCCAGATGCCCCTACCTACCTACTTGTCAGCCTGCTCTCACAGGCGCCCTTTCCAAGCACGGGGCAGTATACCTTGCCCTAGGATTTCCGGACGCAAATCCTTTCATGGAGCCTCCTGAAGTACATGGAGGCACGCAGGCTTTCTTCAGCTTCGAGCCCTCTATCCTTAGCCTCAACCGAACCCGGCTCGCTTAGTCTTCAGGTGGAAGCTTCTGACGAGGCCCGGGGCTCCGGACCAGGGAGTAGGTGCCAGATGCTCTTGCTCTCAGGTTTGCTTTGGGGTTTAGGGTTTAGGGTTTTGGGTTTTGGGGTGTAGGGAAGGAGTCCCTGCAGGACTTCTGGGAGCGGGTCTCCTCCGCTGAGCCGTCGCAGGGGTCGGTGCCTGAGCTCCTGCCATCTTTGACTTCGCAATCTGGGCCTTGGCGCAGCTAAACCCTGTGAGCTCCAAACCCAAAGCCCTGTCTATCGAGATGGTTGAGCATGAGCTCAGCACACCCAACTATGGAGTTGAGGTGGTCAACGGAAAGAAGACTCCTCGCCAGCTAGGAAACGCCCTAAACATCCCTAAACCCTACGCCCTAAAACCCTCATAGAAGCCTTAAAGTAACCCCTAAACCCAAACGCACACACTTTCAGAAGTCAGAAGCCTTCTCCCGACGAGGCCGACCCCTTTACACACCCCGCGCTCGCCCTCAGAGCTGCCACAGTCGCCGCATGGAGCGCGGGGCTCGGGGCATCCTTGGGAGTCTTCTTTTCACAGGGCTTGGAGGGTTTCGGGTTTAGAGTTTAAGGTTGAAAGTTGGTGTAGAATTTAAGGTTGAAGGTAGCGCCGCTTTTTTGTCGAAGCCGCATCTGTGGCCTTGGTGTCTTACCCAGAGAGTTGGAAAAGGCTGAAACCTTTTCAATTTCATGAGTTGGAAAAGTCAATACCATGCATTTGTAGAGCCATGGTGTTGGGGTTCTGTTTGCCAGGGATTCGGGTGGGTTCCAATGCAGTGCTCGACTGGAAGTCCGTCGCTGAGTAGGGGGCTCTCGGAATGATCTGTGTCTTGTTTCCCCACCAGCTCTTGAAGGTTTTCCTCTCGCAACCGGCTTCAATTGCCGTGATCTTAGCGGTCGCAGACGAGTTGGCTTGTGGACTGGGTCCGGGGTGAGTGACTCCATTTAGGCCAGCTGAGACTAACTGAGACTCTCGAGTTCTTGAGGATGAGCCTCTGCTTCTGCTGGACGAAGATCGGGTGCAGGCAGCTTCAGACGTTGTGTTCTGCTCGAAGCCATGCGCGAGGAGTGTCAAACGGCAGAAGCCATGTACTTAGTGCAGCTTCTAGTTGCAAGCCGGCTGTTGGCTATGCATCCGAAAGGGGCTTCAGGTTGCCTTGCCGGTAGCCGGTAGCCATCGGAAGGCCATGCGAGTCGTGCAAGCCTGCAGGAGCGGCATGAAGCGGAGAGAGTAGCCCTTCATGAGGAGCCCGAGGGGGGTCGTTCTGTGGGCCCCTTAGGCACTGGGGAGGGTTCGAAAACCCAGTAAGCAGGTCTGAAGCACAACAATTTCTGCCGAGCTAGCTCGCTGCCGAAGTCTACCGCACTTCCCCTGAAACATTATTTTTCGACACTTTGACCTGCTTGATATTCTTTCTAATCCCTCAGGGAACTCCTTTCCCCCCTCGACAGAGGTGCAAGCGGCAGCAGGTTGTCCCTTTGCGATGAATTGCTGCAATCATGTCATATAAGTTGAAAAATGCTAAGACCAGGATTTCAACTGCCACCTTGCTTCTGTTCCCCCTCGTTGTCGATGTTGTTGTCGCTCTTGTTCTTCAGCACTATGTTCCTGGTGGGTAATATGGCATCGTTGTACCCTGTCACAAACACGATGGCTGACCTTGATGAAGACCATACATAGGAGATGCTTCAGCAGAGTCTACTAAATCTAAGCCCTAAGCCCAAAGCCTGCAAGACAAGACGCTCTTAAAGTTCCCAAGAACAGCCACTCGCCAGGAGCTCGAGGAAGCAAGGCGGACTGGAAAGGCACGGGGTAATTCAAAAAACAAGGGGGCGAGACGGGCCCTCATACAGAACCCTCAGTATTGCTCATAGGAGGTGTAATGTAAAGCCCCTGAGACTACGGATGAAGACAGTACTGGCCGCCTTAGGAACCACGGAGGTTAGCAAGGCGTAACGATCTCCAATGTCAACAGCCGCCACCCGAGCACAACTCAAAATGTTGAGGTTTATAGAGTTAAAGACGCCGGCAATGCAATGTTCCTCCCGAGATTCTCGAGCTCCTGGGATGTCGGCACCTCTTGGAGATTCGGATAGATATGGAGTTCGTTTTGGTATTGTGTCTCGACGCCAGGGTTTCGAGCACTGCGGGTGAGGAGCAAACGCTTCAGATTTACCACGGCATTTGCACAGTCTTGCTGCAGAGAAGCTAGGAGTTTGGAGCTCGCTGCACAGGCTTTTGACCCGGCCACGTCTTTTCCAACCCCAAGCCCTCCACACTACTAGCCCCAGAACCCTAAACCCTAACCCCTGGTCGGGCTTGGAGTTGCTTCGGGCGTCAGGCGGACCGGGCAGCAGCGGAGGCCATGTCGGACAAGGTGGAGGCAGATTTGCTTCTGTTTGGCCAGCTGCTCTTGCACGAAATACATGAATAAGATTTGTTATTATTATTATTATATTGTTATTATTATTTTTTCCTTATATAAGCACGTACTGACCCATCTTTCATAGGTTCTGTAAACCACCAAATCCCAAGTATCCGTTCGAGTTTGCAGTTCTTCGGGGTTGTCTGGGCAGGAACTTCAGCGAGAACGTGAAGACACCTGTCGGGAGAAACACAGGCTGGGAGGGGGGCCATCGAACTTGGCGGCTTGTCGTGGCTGGATCGGCTAGCCTTCACTACAAAAGTGTTGAGAAAGAAACACTCAGATGCCGACCTAGCCAGCTCATGTTCAAAGCCGTTCCTTGCGGGACAAACCAGCGGCCCAAATTGTCACTGCCAGGCTTGAGAAGGAGAACGAGGCTGTGATTCCTTCTGACCAATGTGACAATCTGTCACTCTGTGAGAGAGATACGGTTCGGCTTTCCTAATCGAGTCGTCTCCATGAGGGGTTTCAGGCCGAGATGTCGATATCCGACGATCGGGATGGAAGTCTGTGTCAGGGCTGGAATTCAACAAGCCCCGAAGTCTTCTTGATTTCTCCAACTCTACAGCGACACCGCCTGTGCTTGAGAGGTCCTTCGTCTCCAGCTGCAAGACCACCATGGCATTATGGCTGCCCCGGCATGATCACGCGGCATGTTGCGCAGCCGTGATTGGGTTCAAATGGTCTTGGTATCTCGGGAGTTCTGGCAAAGCCCAAAAGTCTTCATTCAGGACTTTCGTTTTGAATTGCTGAAAGTCGCTGGAAGAACGCATGGCAAGGCAGCAGAATGGGGGCAGACGCTGCAGTTCCAAGAGAGGTGCTGCACCAGATCTAGGATTTGAGGGTTGCCTGCGGTTGACAGTAGCGGCGTACCAAACTCACAGCATCCAGCGCAATGCGACTTCCTATCACTATCTTGAGTTTTTGTTGAACGCAACATTGTTGCTACTGTCCCCATCACGAAGCTTCTCTAACGATCACCACACTGATTGTCCATAGGAGTAACCGACCATCATATCCTTCTTGATGCCGGTGATTCTTCTCCTCCGCTCCCACTGCCACTGCTGCCGCCGCTGCCAATGCCATAAGTAACATCAGATTGATTGCGGTTGCTATTGCTGTCATCATAAGTCTTTGGCATGATTTTGGTAGTAGCTAGTGATGCTGAGTAATGTGTCTCATCACTATGGTTCGTTCCTTTCATGAACATTTTTAGTTGCGTCAGTCCCTGTTGGTTCGTTAGTTGTCAAGATTTTTGGACCAATGCTGTTCTTGTGTTGTTGTTCGTATCAGGAACTGAACGTGTGAACTTTTCAGCAGTGCATGGTTACCGTTCTGGTTGTTTTTGCCATTCCGCACTGGTATGTCATCGTCACCTGTGGTGTTTGCTGGTTTCATGCGTGCGAAGTTGCATTCATGCCTACTACATACGCCTCTTCGTTATACGAGTACTGTTGTAGTTTTCGCGGAAGTGATCTCATTTTCTTGTGATTGTGTCCACTACCATGATCATAATTACCACCGCGAGATGGTGCTTTTTTGACAATGTTGCCTCTGAAGCTGTGCAGGCTTCGTCAGGAAGAAGCAGAAGTCGAGCGGTTGGCCTTCGAGGTGCCCCGTCTTTACCTAGAAGTATGCAGCATTTGGCTTGAGGCTTGTAATAATCGTCGTCGTAGGAATGGTAGCACATGGTAGCAGGAGGAAGATGCCTCATGACAGACGTAGTACGTTGTAGCCACGCAGTACGAGCCGTAGCAACTACTTGGACGAGATGTTATGGGAATGATCCATGCAAATAGCATGATGATATGAATGTCGCCAGAGGTATCTCGACAAGGCAGCGGGTTATGAGTCGCAGCCATGAAAAAATCACGGCAGCGTCGATGTTTAGGAATGAATAGAAGTGCCAGTCTTCGAGTCACTGAAGGCATAGGAAGTCCTAAACCTAAACCCCTGACCATTATTATTATTATGAGTATCATTAGTATTACTATTATTCTTGTTGTTGCTATAGTAATAATAATAATAGTAATTATTATATATGTATATGACCTCTGATCCTCTACGTAGCCAGGTTGCCGAGCTCCGAGCTGCGCTTGTGCTGCGCGATGAGGCATTTGCTTGCGGGATGCCTGCGGGCTGAGGGATGCAACTGCCTAAATGAACCCTAAGACCCTAAACCCTAAACCCTATTCTGATTATTAAGGCCCCTAGATGAGACCCTAAACCCGTAAGGCCCGTATATTGATCCCAAACCGAAGCCCAAGCGGCCTAAGATCTTACCGGGCCCAGCCACAAGACCCCAAGGCTGGACAACCAAACCCTGTACCCCAACACTGAGCCCTTCTCGCGTATGTATCCCTAAACCTTTCCACCAGGAGCTGGGCCACCTCCGCCGGGTCGGGGTCCTGTGAGCTTCAAGAGACTGGGGACACTCTTGGAAATCATTGCAAGAAGCCTGGGTGATTTGGGGCCTTGTGTTTCATGCGAAGGTTTGAGATGTTGCTCGAAGCGATTTGGTTTCTGTTGCGGTGTGGTTGTCATGGTGCTACGCAGGTTTGAGTGCCACACAAAGCCGAAGCATGGCAGGAGACTTCCTTGCCAGTTGGCATGCTGGGCCTGCGTCCTGCAAACCTGAGTCCGAAAGTCCCGGCGCGGACTCCGGCTGTCCAAGCACACCCATCACGTAAATTGTTTCTGCTGGTACCATGACGACGATGGCTACGACTTCTGCTGCCACTGCTGCTACTGCTGCTGCTGCCGCCACTTTTGCTGCTGCCGCTGCTGCTCTGACAGCTATTGGCAGCTCGGCATTGCCACCATCATCATCATCATCGTCATCCTCGTCCTCGTCGTCACTCTCATCGGCAGCATGAACATGGTTTTCACCATCCCTATCCCCATCACCATCCTTACCCCCATCACCATCTCGATCCCCATCACCGTCACCATCATCATTGACATGACCTCTCCAAGCACCGACTTCGGACCTCCCGCGGGCCTCACTGAGGATGCGGCGCAATGGAGACTTCTGTCAAGGCACAAGAGTGGGCAGCGGCCTTGTCAGACTGTCAGAGGTTCTAAAGACGGTTACGATGATGAAGCTGCAGTCCAGTTTCCTGCTATCTGTGCCAGCACAACGACATCTTTGCTGACCCAATCTTGCCGTTTTAGCGGTTCTCTCTCTCTTCCGACTATCACCAACGTGGCTTGTGTTTGCGGTTGTGCTGGTGCTGTTGTTGTCGGCGTTCTTCTTGTTGCCGCTCTACAGACCAACGGACAGGCTTCACCCGTAGAAGTTGACGCCCGAAATCCAGAGCGCAGCTAAGTGCTTGCATCGAATTCCACAAGGCTCGGGGACATCAGTTCCGACGAGATCGAGCGTGTCCTGGAGGCACGCGAATCGAGACATATAGGCCATAAGCTTTGTGGAATGCTTTCTGTATCATTTGCATCAGAAAAGATCACTGGAATCGCAAACTTGGTAGGGTATACATCCAGTTCTCGTGCTGTATTTTGACGTTTGCGAATCAATACAACGTGCAGAACTTGCCGGGCTTACGCTGCTGCACGGCTGCCCACGATGAGAACTGGTCCTGATACATCGGAGACATTTGTCGGGTCGCCTGTGCCTGCTCCGTACCTTAAGAGGGTGACCCCGGATCCACCCCTGAAGCCTTAGACTGCGATGGACTTCCAATCTGGATTCGTTTTTTGAGGAAGCCCCCCCAAATGCTATTCTAAGTATTCAGCTGCCCCAGCAGCTCTTGTTTGTGTAACATCCCTAAGCCCCAAACCGCCCCAAACCCGAAACCCTAAAAACCTAAACCCTAAACGTTTTAAACCCTAAACCTGCAAACCCCTAAACCTGCAAAACCCTAAACCCCCCAACCCCTAAACCCTAAAACCTAAACCCTAAGTCTTAAACCCTAAGCCGTTTTGCTTCGCCGCCTTGGTTTATCTCCCTGGTTCGTAGTAGGGAATGTGGGAATGGATCCCCATGATAGTCCCTTAAGGTCCCCTAGAGTAGTCTAAGAACCAGTCAGAAGAAACCTAATACAGGGGCCTTTTTAATAATTAGAACAGGGTTTGGGGTATAGTATACTATATAATTATAATAAGGAGCCCCCAAAACCCTACTAAGAATTCCCAAACCCTAAACCCTAAACCCCTAAACCCTAAACCCCTAAACCCCTAAACCCTAAACCCTAAATCTACTAAGAACCAGTCAGTTTTTTGGAGGAGGCCGGGCCGGGCCTGGCCCAGCTCGAGGCGGAGTCCCGCGCGCCTTGGCCTGTCAATCGTCGAAGGCTGTCAGCTTTTGTTCTTTGGATTAGGATTGCGGAGCCATCAGTGCCAAAGCTGTCTAGAGGTGCTTCAGATCCAGTGGCTTAAAGGCAAAGGGTGCAGTGGGCTCATACGAACTAGCCTGGATCTTCTCAGCCGTGAGCGCTGCCCGCATCGCCCTCCACAAGGGGCCTTGGGATGCAAAGCTTGCTGCTAGCTGGTAAGCTAAAGCATTTGATGCATCCTTCTCTGTCTCCTAAACCCTAAACCCTAAACCCTGAACCCGAAGCCCTAAACGCTGAACCCTAAACCCTAAACCCCTAAACCCTGAACCCTAAACCCTGAACCCCAAACCCTAAACCCTGAACCCTAACTCTGGACCCTAGTCGAAAAGGCACGTGCTCGAGTTGCCCGCAGCCAGCTACGAGACGAGCCGGGGCCCCAAACACTGCAAGTCGGCAGAGGACAAAGTGAGAGGGCCGCTGTAACCCTTTGCGAAACATGCACCTCAGAGCTTTGCAGGCCCCATCTACCTGTGTCATCATGAAGCCCGGAGTACAGCTTTTATACCCTTGTATACCCCTTTTAGTCCCACTTATACTAGTGTGAGGCTGGAGCAGCAGCTGTGTGCCGTGTGCAGAGATTCGAAGAAGGCAGGGTCGGCATTCGGTGTCTGGAGGATGTTTGCAACTTTTGCCGGAGAATCCAGTACGCGGAGCTTGAGCCGGTTCCAACTCGTTTCGATCATCCGTCCATCTTGGCACGCGAGGGCTGGGGAGGAGTGCTCTCACTGCCTGGTTCTGTCAGGCGGTCCTGTTTCTCCCGTGCCAGCATCTGTGCGTTTGCGAAGGCAGGCTGATGCCCTGCTACAGGATTCTTCAGTAAATGAGGTGGTGCATCAAGGCGTCCAGCCATGAGTGTTTTGATAACAGGATGCCAATCTGATTTTGATTTCACCGGGGAGCCTCTGGACGTGCACGACAGGCTTTCGACACGCCCAGCCGGCCAAGTCTAAGAGCCAAAAGCCATGTATCTCAACCTTCCCCATTGTCAAGTTGACATGGGGCCACAACTCTTCAACGACCCAAAAGACCAGGGTGCCGGCAAAGACTTCGACCATATCGATGCCCGATGTGCCAGGCCCGTCGGAAGTGTGCTGCATGAAGAGAGTCGGCTGCGGGTTTCTAGGGTTCGGTCTCGGTGATTCTAGGCCCACTTCAACTGGTGGGTGTTTTCTGTTATCAGACCTTGATCCGATCTAGACTCTAGACAATATCCCATAATGCCCCCTTGCCCTCAAATATAAATACTTGAACTTTTACCTTCTGCCATTATCCACCACCTGGCCCTATTCGAATCACTAAGACCCCTGTTTCATGCCATACATGGACGCAGGATGGCAGGATAGGGGGCTGCACCGCTGCGAGTCTGAAGGAGCCTATTCAGAGCCACATCTCGCGCGTCCATTTCTGAGGGCAATGCGCGACCGAGCGGATTCTGCATCTAGTTCTCCCCCCGAATGGTGTAATTTTCTAGACTCTCCGGCCGGATAATCCTTGATGGCTACATTGTTCTGTGGATTCTATAGTCCTCGGAGATCTTGCTGCTGTCCTCTTTCGGAGATGTCTGGCACCTATTTGAAGCAAGTTCTACTCCGGCAGCGGGGCACCTGTGGGAACATGCCTATGCGGGCCTTTCGGCAGCGTTGTTGTCAACAGACTCTCTTTCTGCCGCTGTGCAGTACCCACATGTACCCATTGTCCATATGATTCTAGCAAGCTGTCGGAGTACATCATTAAGTTGGTTTCACCTCGTGCCTCCAACAGGAAAACTGGCGCCAGGTCCACTGCTCTTACAGCGCTCGACGAACCAGTGTAGTAAGTTACAGGTATGGTCGCATTGGCCAGTATGTGCCATTGCCAATCACATGGAGCATCTTAGAGACCCGTGTCGCGAACATTTTGCTCAAGCCATCGCTGCAACGACATGACTCGCAGTGCGAGCTGGAGTCACTCACATCACTAACCTGGAACAAGGTAGATGCTCATCGGCGAGCATGCCAACCACTTGGGATACTGTATCGGACATGCTGGCTAAGCGTGTGAAGCAGTGTTGCCGAGAGCTTTCATTGCAACATGCCAACGAAGACACTTTGCATCTAGGTTCACGCTAGGACTTTCGGTGCCATCCATCAAGGCTGGAAAGGCGATGGGTTTTTTAAAACACAGCTTCACGTTCGTCTTTGCAGGTTTCGAGGCCTTCCTGTGGCTAGACCTGCTCTTCAAACGGGTATCTCAGTATGAACTACAGTGCTCTTGCTCGCGCCTTTGAAGTAAAACGTCCTTGGTACGTTACATATGATTACATTCCGCAGGGTGCAAAGATATGATGAACTGCAGGGCCTCTGACTCTGGAGGCTTGGGGCATATGGGGCTTATTGGGGCGATCCGTGGCCCTGTTGCACTAGTGTGTTCTGAAGATGTGGAGCATGAACCATGCAGAGGCTGGCAAACAAAGCGCTTTTGAAGGCGGAGGAACTCAGGCACGTGGGCTCAGCTGCGTATTCCAACCGAGGCAACTTCTTTGTATTGCTCTTTTGGCCCACGCAGAGACACCCCACGGCAAATGGCGTCATGGGCTTGCAAGAGTTGTAAGGTCCTTCCCCTAATCTCATTAACAACCGCCCACGGCAACAGCATGGCTGAACTCTCACACTCGAATCCGTGTCAGTGATACTCCATGGTATGTGCTATCCGACATCTGAAGCCCTGAAACGTGCACCTCAACCGACTTCTCAATGGTGAAGCTTGCGGCTCATACAGTATTCAGCGTATGAATTTGAGGTTTGGCTATGCAAGGCTTGGCATAGTCTGCAACACTGAAGCACCTGGTGGTATGTCCATTGCACAGGGCCCCTGGATTGTTGAGGGACTGCAGTCAGAATCGCAACCTGTCAGTGCCAAGACTTCTTCTGTCTGCTCATCTCGCAATGTGGTGATCGATTGTATTCTATTCTGCTGAGTTCTACAGCTAACAGCAGTCGTGCTGTGCAGGTGGCTCCTTCCCTTTGTTGCTGTTGCTGCCAAACCTCTGCCCCTAAGGCGCAAAGCCTGAGTCCCTGAAACCGTTTGAAACCCTTGCAGGATGCTCTTCACCTGGATTGCAGGCCTGCGGCAGAAACATGGCTTTTGTGGGGCTTTCGTTCTAGGGTTCGGAGCTCGAGAAGTTGAATCGTTTGGCTTGAGCTTGTGGGTTGCACGGTTAGGGGTGGAGGGTTTGTCGGGGTTGGCTCCTGAGCCGAACGCAAGTGCCGGCGGCAGTTCCTCGAGACCCGAATCCATCCATACTTTGGGGTTGAGGGCCCCTGACCAACACCCATCAACACTGAGCTCTGGGGTTTGGGGTTTGCGTTTTCGGATGGGAGTTCTTGCGTGGCAAGCCCTAAATCCCCAGACTCTGAGCTTAAATGCCGCTCTCCACTAGCCATCTTGAACCCTAAACCCTGAACCTACAGTACAGGTTTTTTGCCCGCTGAGCGCACGGCGGAGCAGGCGCGGTGCTCACTCATGCCAGATGCTTGTCGGTAAGAGTTTATTTTTTAGGGTTTGGGAGGAGCAGCAAGATGCCACACAGCGGTTCGCGGTTTCGGATTTACGGTGTAGGGCCCTTGGGAGTATATGTCCAGATGATGGGTGTCGGTTTAAGGGTGCATCTGTGGGGTTTGGAGGTGCCAGGTTGCACGCTCGAGAGAAAAGCTTCGTAGTGACGCTGTGAAATCAGGGTCGAGGCCGTTTGGGGATCAGGGCTTCGGCTTGGCACTGGGGGTGTTGGTTCTGTCTGAGACGTGTGCGCAGCAGTCTTGCTTCACCTTGGGTCCGGTCATTTGTTGGACAGCCTCAACTCCTCAGCCTTGCGCGGATGCCTGCATAAGCCGGTTGCGACATCCGACCCAAAGCCTTCGACAGCTGCGGAGAGATCCGAGTCGAGTGTGAAAGCGGCAACTTCGTCAGCTCTTCAAACTCGACAGCTCGAAAGCATTCGATAAGCCCCGCAGATAGCAGAAGATGCTGAGACGGCGCGGCGCGTGGTGCTGGGAACCCCAGTGCTGGGGTGCCCACATCCAAATCTCGTTCGTTGCATGGGCCATTGCATGGGGGTGCTCTGCAACAAACCGAGCTCGATGCATGCGGGTCGGAGATGTCGAAGCCCCGAGCCGCAAGCCCGAAAAGCCGGTGAAACCGTAGAAGTGTGCTTCAGCACTGAGGGCGGGCGGCCCGCTGTGGACGATTGACGACGATTAGAGCGAGTGGCAGATCGCTGTGGCCCGGCTCCCAGTCACCCAGCGGCGAAGCTTCGTCCATTCAAGGTTCTGCTTGTGGGACGCCTTGTTCGATGCAGCCCTCTTATCACCGTGCGAAGACTGTGCTTGTGCTTGGGGATCAGAGGGCTTCGGCTTGTGCGATAGTCTTGAGCCCTGAAGCTCTGCTGCCTCTTTGGTGAGACAAGATCGATTTTCCACTGCTGCAGATGATGTTCCAAGACTTTATGAGTTCGAGCCTGAGTGTGCGCGGGGTTTAGATTTGGAGCTGGGAGGTTGTCGTTGTCGGCGCCACCGCGGAGCCCCGGTTCTTGGAACTTCGATTTGGGGTCGTCGCTTCGAAGAAGATCTTGAATCACAGAGCGGTAGTCGATGAAGTGGAGTCCGCTGATGCTTGTGCGAAGTTGGGAGCCCGACAGAATCCTACAGCCGCGCAATAGGGCCCTTGATCATGAAATGGCCCTGGTACGTTGGTGTCTTTTTCTCGGACAACCTCCCAAACCTCTTCTGAAAGAGCCGTCTTTGTCTTCGTGTTTCGAAGAAACTTGCACCCTCACCCAGCTGCAATACTTTCGAGGGTCTTCGCAACTGACCTGTCCGGTGTCGCTTTTCCCCCCGCTTCTCCACCCTCTCAAATCTCTCGCATCGCCAGTGCACCAGGAACCCGTCTGCGAACATGACGTGCAGATGTTGCAAAAAGGCAGGGTTCCCAGCGTGTCGGACTGTGCTCACGCTGGGGTGCAGGAGTCGGAAGCTTAATAAAGCTGCTTGGCGGGGGGGACGGTTTCCCAGGCATTAGACCCGGTACAGGCAGCTTGACCCGCTAACGCTTCTAGCTTCTTGAAACTTTGCAGCCCAGCAGCTCGTGCACAGCCGCTTCAGCCAGAGGCTGCAAGTTGCAGATGACGCCGCCATCGTAAGCCTCGGCTATCCACGAGCTTGCGACAACCCGAAGAATCTTCAAAAACTGGTGCTTCTTGATTCAAACTTGCAAGACCGAGCGTAAACCCAGGGCGAAACGGTTTTTCTTGCCCTCTTGGCATCGTCGTGAGGCAAGAAGCTCCTCGCAGCTTGCAGCTGATCTGCAAGATCCATGGCAAACTCACGTGGGACACTGAACCCGACTTCGGTAGGGTTTCGCCAAAATCTTCAATTGAGCTCATGAACCCGCATCGCCATCAACGTGCTTGTGACAGACATCCACTCGAACCTGCAACTTTCCGCTACTGTGTCGATTCTAGCAATAGAACTGCCTGTTGAAAATTTGAAAATGCAATGGCAAGGTCCTCTTCCAGAGATGTTTGTTCCTGCCCGTCGTGCGCCGTCTGCGATGGGTCGCTCTCTCTGTGGCGCGGTGCGCATTTCGACTAACACGCTGTCATGAGACTGACCAGTCGCAATAATCGGGTGTGGTGTGGGGAGGTCTCGGCTCTGCCGGGGCTGCAAGTCAAGCGTTCAACTCGAGCGGAAGGGATGAGGGGCCCATCGGCTTGTCCATAGTTGCAGTTGCCAATGATGATGCGCAGATTGCTGCTGTAGGCTAGGATGCACATGCTGGCGAAGAAGCGCGGCTCCGCGTGATGAAAATTACGGGGAAGGGAAGCAGTTCCAAAGTTCTGTACTCATTTCTACATCGTAGGCATCCCGCAGCACCAATGAGGCAGCCGTAACAGTTGCGACGGTGGTCATGGGGCCGTGCCACAAGGCATCCGCCGGCTCGCACGATTCTTGAGCTTGGGATTTCGCCCTGTAACAACATGCGATTCCGGCGACATGATCACACAGCTTGACGAGAAGCATTTGCACGTCGAGATCCACATAAGCCGCAAGCCAAGTCTACCAATGCAGATTGGTTGAAGCCAGGTATAGTTGTGATAGACCTGGCGGCGGCATTGCTTCTGGTTGTCGATACTTATGCCGGTGTACTGCGACATATCACATAGTAGGATGAAAAGACCTAAATATCGAGATTCGCATAAGCAATTGAGGACTTCCGAGAGTGAGATTTGTTGTGCAAAACGCCCAATCCAGATCCAGTTTTGCACAGTTTCGCGCGATGTTGCCAGGGCCTGGAGCTGCTGCGCCAACAGGTGGCGGAGGCAATTTGCATACAATGTCACAGCCCGGGATGTTGTATCAGGATGGTGAAGGGAAGCTGTGGAAGGGAGCTCAGCCATACAATCAGCCGTAGGCTGCTTGGGGCATCCGACCCAAAGCCTTCGACAGCTGCACAGAGATCCGAGTCGAGTGTGAAAGCGGCAACTTCGTCAGCTCTTCAAACCCGACAGCTCGAAAGCAAGCATTCGATAAGCCCCGCAGGAAGCAGAAGATGCTGAGAGGGCTCGCCGAGTGGTGCTGGGAACCCCAGTGCTGGGGTGGCCGATCATCCAGGTTTCTTACGATATGGGTTTAGCGGGGCAGAAGCCCAATCCAAATCTCGTTCGTTACATGGGGGTGCTCTGCACAGACGCTCGGCTTTTCAAGGTGAGCACCAAACCCAGCGGTGCAGCAGGGAACAGGTCGAGCTCGATGCATGCGGGTCGGAGATGGCGAAGCCCCGAGCCGCAAGCCCGAAAAACCGGTGAAGCCGCAGAAGTGTGCTTCAGCATTGCGGATTTCGAGCGCAGCGTAGTAAGGTGCTCGCATCAACTGAAGATTCCCAGCGTAGAGAAGGCCCGAAACCTTGAAAAGAAAGGCCAAAGCCTCGCAACTTCGACCCCTCAATGCCTCAATCCTTTGCATAGCCGAGCTTAAATTCCTAAAATCCCTTCAATCCTTAAAGCAGGCACAAACCACCAAGGCAAACCAAGGTCTTGAAGCCTATCCCCGAAGCAAAGCAGAATCCCGAGCCTTTGAACCAACATGCCGCACTCCCGAAAAATGGCCTAAGCTCTGAACCAGGAAGCCAAGCTCCTAAGCCGTGAGCCTAGGCATTGCAGCTGGAGGTGAGAGCCAGCACGAGCTGTGTTCAGCCCTGCGAGATCCCACGGAACGTTTTGGGGTTCCGAACTTACGGCTTATGATGGTTCATGGCTTTGGTGTTCCGAAAACGCCACGTTCTAGAACGCTTCTGGAGGGCCTCCATACATGCAGAGGACTTTCGCGGGGTGGAGGCGCTGAATCCTCGAGTTTTTATGTCGTTGGTTGGTGGAGTGAAAGAAAGACGAGTTCGGTTCTTATCACCTCCAAAGCAAAGCGATGATGTGCCTCTCTGAAAAAGTTGCTGTGCTTGCCGCGAGGAGGAGTGAAACGACCGTTGTCCATGTAATTGCAACGCTCCAGGACAAGACTCCGTGCATTGTCTTCCCGTTGCGACATACAATGCTACATGCCGCGTTGGTTACCGGTAAAATGAGTGCGTTCAGGCCAGCTAGAAAGCCAGAAAGCTTTGCAAGGCTAAGAGGCCACTGGGAAAGCTAGCCTGTGTTGGATGCAATTCTTTGGAGTTGACACTGTTCTGTACTAATGTCTAGTACGCTGCAGTAAACAGCATGGGCTCGAAATGGCTCGAATATGCAGTGTAGTAAGGGCATATGGGACGGTGCATCTTTTCGGATGCATCTCACTGCAGGAGACTTTGTTGAGTATTTGCGGCCCTTCAGTACGCCCGTCAGAACTAGGTTCGGCAACTACTGCAAAAGCATTGGACATGAATCCTGAACTCCAATGCCTAACGCCTGAGACCGTAAACTTTGTATTTCAAACCTCTCCGCGAGTTTTTTGGTTCAAATTGGATTCATCTGTTCTTTGCTTGCTGGAGAAGCCAACGAGGCGGGCCTTGCAGCCCTCTGATGCCACATCCTGCCACTCCAAGCTAGGAACTTGGCAGAATCTGAATCTGAAGCGACCGCAGGGCCCGAAGAAACAGGCATTAATCTTACACTATTTCATGAGGCCAATGCCCCTTGACTCGAAGACCAATTCCAGCATAGGAACGCTTAGGATCCAGGTTTGCGTTCGGGAGTCCGTGGCCTAGAAACCCACAGCCAGCGATTGTCAGAAGGTGTGTGGTAGGGATCCCAAGAGAACTTGGTGCGCCGTGCTTGCGCAGACTAGCTTCAGGTACGTGCAGCTCCGGGACTTGCATGGGAGAGTACTGTGCTAGATCGTTCCTGTACACTATACGATGCTACAGCACGGTGTGGGGTACAGTGTTTTGCTTTGCTGGGTGGGTTGCTGGGTGACGCCTTCCACCCCCCCCCGCCCCCACTTAGGGCCACTTTCGCACTAGTGGATGCAAAACGAGTTGCACACTTTAAAACGGCCGGACCTTGCAGAGGTGGCCCACGGTGATGGCTGGAGTCTGCCCCCTGCTTTTGCTGTGCCGGGGGATTGGAGGGCTCTTCTGAGTAGGACTTGTCGGAGGCCAAGGTTAAGGGCCTGGTTTGGTGTGCGAGAGAGAAGGTGAGAGCCGGATCTTGACTTGTTGGTGCGTTGCGAATTTGCTGGGGTTCAGTCCTGCTCAAGGCTATGTTTTGACTAATTAGCTGAGTCGCAATGTCCACGAGCACACCAGCGTGTAGAATTGTGAACAAGCGGACACTGTTGATGGGGCTAAACCAGAAGCGAGCTGGGCAGCAGATCTGAGATTCTTGCACGTGGCTTGTGACTCGCCGCTTCTTTCCAGGCTTGGCTCAAATTCGATATATCCATCCCTGCAAACAGGCTTCCCAAAAGTGCTTCGATCAAAGTCTGCCCAGCACAACAGCAACGGACAGTCATTCTGGGTGTCTTCTGTGGAAGCTGCGGAGAGGGCAACAGCTCTTCAAGGCCTGCCATGACAATTTCTACCGGTGCTGCCGTTGTTGTTGTCTGGGTTGTAGTGACAGAAACTACTGAGTCGGTCGTAGTCGTAGGACTGCAGTCGTGGTCGTAGTCCTAGTTGTAGTCCTAGTCACTAGTCACTCGTAGTCCTAGTCATAGTTGTAGGCGTAGGCGGTAAGTGTGGTGGCAGTCGGTGTCGAAGCCGTGGTGGACCTTGTGGTGATCGTTGCAGTCGTGGTTGCAGAAGTGGCATGACAAGGGAGGAGGAGCAGCAGACGGCAGCAGCAGAAATAGAACGCATCGATCTGACGAGACAGGCGATGGCTGCTGTTGCTCTGGCCCCGCCCATCGCTGTCACGTCGGTGTCGGGGGTACGGGGCCACAGGAGTGAAGATTTGGGCCTAAGATTTTAAGGGCTGAGGCTGACGGGGGGTATGTAGGATTTGGATCTTTGGGTTCAGGATTGACGAGAAGCTCTTCAATATCTACTCCCCGAGTCTTTTCTCCTTTCGAGCATTCCAAATCTACGCCTCTTCCCACGCTCCTGTCAGGATTTCAGGTGGCTTCATGGTTCGAGTGGTCCTGAGTTCTCAAGATCCAGAGAGCTAGAGATTTCAGGAGGATCTTACAGGGTACTGTTTGTAGGCACTTGACAGGTGTGGGCCCTATACGAACCTGGAGCGTATGGGCTCAAGGAGGGCTCACCAAGATCTCGCGCGAGCCGTGAGAATTTGGAGTGTTTTAGCCTTCCGGCTTTGCCTTGACCATGTCATCATGCAAGGATGTTTGCTCAAGGCTTGGGGGTACACCTGGCTCTGTGAGGGCGTCCCTTCGTTCGGAAACCTACCGGCCTAGAGCAGCCCAAACGAGGGCTTGACGTGACAGTAATACCTCCGCTAGTGTTTTCCGTTGGGTTTGGGACCGGGGCCCAAACTTCAATGGCAAAGCTCCCTTTAGGACAGATGTAAAGTTCGGGTTTGGGGGCTGAAGGCGCAAGGGGCACCATCCGGATCTTCGGCATCTTTTGACCCCCACACCTCCCGAGCTTCCTGGGCCATGGACCAGAGCAGCACCGCCCCTCCGGCCCTGGACGCAGCGGAGCTCCGTGCTGTCTGCCAGACCTGTACAGTCAAGGAGCTCAAGAAACTCCTGACGCCTCTTGGCTTTGCCACTTCATAAAACCGGGAAACCATAGCAAGAACTTGGCAACGTTGCTTCCAGATGCTGCTACCGCCATGATCATGCCGTAGTTGCAATAAATTTGGCATAGATTTATGTGTGTGTATGTCCGTGCCTGTATGCACGCATGCATGCATGCATGGAGCAAACTCGAGCTGTCTTTGTGCATTTCCGAGCTACCAGGAATCTGGCAGTTGATCTCAGCGGCTACGTGGAGAAGTCTGAGCTGGTGGATGCCGCAGTCAGACGCCTTGACAGCGACGGGTGGCTTTGCGGCACCAATCCCGCTGCTTGTGGGAACTGCTTGGGACATCAGGGGAGGGGACTTAGCAACTAGCTGAGAGACAGGGCTGTGAACGGATCTCTAAGCCCTAGCCACATCCTACCTGCCACGTCGCCTCTAGGAGTTTCTCGTTCTCGGGTCAGTGGCAAAGGGCAGGGCAGCCCCGTAGTTGCATACTGGGGTTCTTCTGCCAGGAAGGCGAAGCTTCAGCTCTTCAGCTACTGCCGGATCTGCTGCAATTGGTGCTTGGACGACGATGTTTGGCCACTCACCTGTGGCCACCTCGCGTGCTTCCAGTGCTTGGGCATGTACCTTGAGAGCCAGATCCAGGCCATGAAGTCTTCATTGAAGTACAACCTCCCCTGCATTTACGCGCCTGCTTGCTCCCACGAGATGAGATTCCAGGATGCGGCGTCCATGAGTGCCGCCCTGCGCAACCTCTGGAAGGATCTTCAACAGCGGGAGCGCCTCATCCGCGATGCCAAGTACGAGGTGCTGGAGTGTCCCCAGCCGGGCTGCGTCGGAGTGGCCTACAAAGAACGGGGCCGGCGAACGGCCATGTGCTTCATGTGCGAGCATACCTGGGAAGCCAACAGCAACGGAACAGATGATGATGGCCAGAAGCCAAACTTTGATGGAACCCGGGTCCGCAAGTGTCCAAAGTGCCAGGCTCCAATCGAGAAGAATGGAGGTTGCAACCACATGCACTGCACTCGTTGTGGCCGTCACTTCGATTGGACCGCCAGCCAGTCAGCAGGAGATCCCAATGCAGCTCCTGCGGAAGCGCCCTTCGGAAACTTGAATGCCAACAACCTCTTTGGAGATGCAGCGGCTGCCTTTGAGCAGTTTTTCCCCAACATGCACCATGCTGGTGCCCATGCAGCCCATCGCGCCACTCACCAGGCAGCTCATGCCCAGGCCCAGCAGAGGGCCCGCGAGGCCTCGCAGGCCGGGACTGGAGCAGCAGGGGCGCCTCGGCGACTCTCGGTTTCGTTCTAGCTTTGCTGACCGAGTGTTGCTGTGTTCGTGTGGTGCGCATACAGTAGCTATTGAGGCCGCAGAGCCAGCGGATCTTTTCAACCACTTCGGAAACCTCCTGGGCGCAAATGCGCCGGGCTTCCAACACGTCATGGGCAATGTGGCACAGGCTGCCGGCGGCTTCATGCAGCATGCTGCGCAGATGCATCAGGCTCACGCGGCCCATGAGGCGGCCCAGCAAGCCCATCAAAGAACTCAGCAGGCAGCGGCCGAGCAAGCCCACAGAGTCCATCAAGCTGCTCATCAGGCAAGGGCACAGCGGTTCACAGTTCCTTTGTACCTCCCGGCCCCCTTTGAGCGTAGTGTCGCATCATGCCCTCAGGCCTCTGGCAACAGTACAGCACCTTTCGGCGCCGGGTTCGCTCCAACACACACTTCCAGTGGCGGTACAGGACAGCCCGAGTGTGCCGTGATGTGAGCAAAAAAGGCTGCGCGGTCCCTTGCATTGAACAAATGGCCGAACGCTGTGACAGCTCCAGATCTTCTTGAGAAAACGGCTGAGGTACTGAGCTTGCTGGAAGAGCAAGAGAATCAGCTACGATGCGCTGCGCTCCAGCGGCTGAACGAGGCTTCTTTGAGACCAGCTCGTGATAAAGATTCAAACTTCGAGCCACCTCAGTCCATGTGTGGACAGGTGGTGGATCAGTTCTGGCATGAGATTGCCGATTACTTGAACGACATTGAGACGCTGTATGAGGACTGGCAAGAGCTTCTTCTGCCTCGGGTTTGCTAAACATCCTAGATCCTCAATCCTACACCCAAGACCCGGCGCCCAAACCTCTAAACAGGTTTTAAGTGGGTGCACAAATGGATTCCATAATGAGGCATTGGCTCTCGAACTAGAGCCCGGGCGTCCCGAAAGCAGTTGACGAACCGAAGATATTAATATATATGAGAAAAACGTGCCTGCATGCATGCACCGCCATGGCGACAATGTCAACAACAAAAACCAACGACAACGACAAGGACAACAACAAAAACGACAACAACAACAACAACAACAAAACCAGCAGCAGCAGCAGCAGCAGCAGCAGCAGCAACAACAAGGTAGACGTTGCGTTTGCCGCCGCCGAGGGTGTGTCTCTTTTTTGGTCCAGTGCCTGAAAACCTCGAGTTTTGTTTTCGTGAATAAGGGGATGTTTTGGCATTTTTTTAAGTTGTTTGTTCTTTTTTTTAGTCTGTTTTTGTTTTCGAAAATGCCGCAAAAACTGTGGTTTTCGTCAATCCGCGAGTCTTTTCTGGTGGGAGCGTCTGACACGTGACAGGAAAACAGCAGCAACAGTGAGCAACATGGTCATTGTTATTGCTATACAGTATAGTATAGTATAGTATAGTATAGCATAGTGTCGTATAGTATAGTATAATACAGTAGAATAAAAGGCATTTGTAGCCACGTCTTGAAAGCTACCAAGTCTTCTATGTTCTCCTCAAGAGAAAAGAAATCAACACCCTGCATTGGCACCCTGAACCTCGGACCGTAAACCCTTGCTTCAACCATCCTAAAGTCCTAAACTTGCGTTTCAACACCTACAGGGGGTTGGCTGAAATATTGCATTTCAGGATCCTTTCGTTGAGACGATTACAGGCTAGGATAGGTCTCCTTGAGGACCTTTAACTATGCCATGCGACATACCATGTACCCCAAACCCTACTCTATGACTATGAGGCCCATACTCGACAAACCCTAAATCCTTGACCGCCCGAAGGTTACACAACCGGGCAGGCAGACAAAAAGGGGTCAACACAACACAAAAGCGCATTAAACCCTAAACCCTAAACCCTCAACCCTAAACCCTAAACCCCTAAACCCTAAGCCGCAAGGACCCTGCCTTTCCTGGGCGCGAGATGGCCGCCCTGGTGGCCTCCAAGGTCTTCTACCACTTAGAGGAGTACCGACCTCGGCAAGGATATTAGGGTATTAGGGTATTAGGGTATTAGGGCATTAGGGTATTAGAGTTTAGGGTTTAGGGTTTAGGGGAGCAGTTTAGGTGTTCAGGGATGCAGGATCCGGGGTCTTCGATTCTCGGGGCTTTAGAGATGGGCCTATCGATCGCTGCCAGGTATGACGACGCCTTGCGTCTGGCCTTGGGTGCAGGCCAGGCTTCCGAACTGCCGAGCTCCTCTGGGTTCTTGTTAAGGGCTTCAATTTAAGTTATAATAATATAGAAACCATGCTTCTAATTTAAGTTATAGTAATATAGAAACCATGCTTTTTAATTTAAGTTATAGTAATATAGAAACCATGCTTTTTATTTTAAGTTATAGTAATATAGAAACCATACTATTTTAATTTAAGTTAAAAATAAGGTCAAGGCCCGTTCCTTCGACTTGGACTTGGACTCTGCTTTTCTTTCTAAATTCAACCCCAACCGCAAGCAAAAAGCATGTTAACAAAGCTCAGAAAGCCTGTAAACGGGAATCGCCCCACCAAAGCACTAGACCCATGTTAGAAAGCTCAAGCAGCCTATGCCTCATCAGCTACCCTGAGCCCTAAACCCGCAACCCAAGCTTCTAAGCCTCTTGGACCCTAAACCCCGAACTCCTAATCAACTGCGAAAGTCCTAAGGCCCCTAAGCCCTAAACCCAATACCGCACCCAAAGCCCTGAACCCTCCAAGCCCCGGCTTCAATCGGAGTCAGTGGAGGTCAGCTCTTCAACCTCAATCAGCGGTCGGAGTACGTCGTCCGGGCCCAATCAAATCCACATACAGCAGCGACTGGTCAAATAAAGAGTGTAGTATGGTATAGTGGATAGAGAACAATCAAGAGTTGAAGGCCAACCCTAGAGACGTCGTAGGCCTTGACTTCTTGGTTGCAGGGCTCAGGGCTCGCTGTTTCCAGAGTTGCGGCGGCGTTCTTTTCCTTGTTAGCGTCGGATGGGTCTGGTCATGAGCCCGAGCTCGGCACACATCGCGAAGTACCCGATCAGGAGAAGATCGTCGCAGTTGCCATCGACGAGTATGCGCCCGCCTCGAAACGTAACAGCTCCTGGTCTGGGGTCATCTGTGTTTTTGGTGACGAGCAATTGGCGCAATTTCGTGCCTGTGGCACAGAATAGAACCGCAAAGTATGGTGCATCTCGTTTGAGTTTGGCATTGGACAGTTACTGTTGGCATAGCAAGCATTATGCCCTGGTACAGTATAACCCCATAGTACGATATATACAATAGAGCACGCCATTGTGCAGCTGCAGTATATAAAGGTAGGACTGTATGGCAGATGGCAACACCAGCTAGGCTTTCGGATGCTACAGTACGATTCGGTATGTATAGCTACAACAAAAGCTAAATCGGGCCCAGCAGCATACACTAAGGCGCACTGTGTCGAATTCTATAGCAAGGTCAAGTTCGTGACAAATTCTTCCGATTCCGAACTCGATCTTGTTCCGCAGCCCCAGCTCCAAACCATTAGCCACGAATTACACATCGGGGCAGACAGCTTGGGCAGCTCTTTGCAGGTCAAGTTGACCGGAGACAACTTTGAGCTGGAGATGAAGAAGAAGGATTGGCAATGATACCCCTCGGGGGAGAGTGTTTGCCACCGGAGAAGCAAACAGTGTTCGTGCGTTTAGGATCGGTGCTGGCTGCCATGCTATGCCAGTCTCACCTCTCGTGCATGCTGTAGTTTTTGCAGAGACTGAATGGCAGAGTGTGTTTGGGGGCTGAACAGTTGCCCACATTATTGCTTAGGGCTCCCTCTCTGATTACATTAACCGAAAGATGCATGCCAAAGCCAAATTGTAACTATGAACGCTTCTATATTAGACGCCTTTGCTGACTTCAATCTGATGAGCCGAACATCGGAAACTTGCAAATCCCAAGCCTTAGCCACTGCATCCTTGCGTAACCACCTCTATAGTACCCTTGATAGTGGCCCTTATAGGTACCCTGAAAAGAAGCCCAGTTGTCACCCTTGCAGTACCCCTGATAGAACCCTAAAAGTCTCGGAGCCTAACTTTCCAGGACCCGGTGCCCATCGACGCACGATTGGAGGACGTCGTGAACCGGATGTTTGCGCGATGCATGGAGGACAGGGCGGACAGGGAGGGGCCCGGGCACAAGAACGCTACTGAGGGCTTCTTTGAGCCCCATGTAAACCCCATACTGGGTTTCCCTTGAGGCTATCTCTTTCCTCGCGTTGGACCTCGCCTTGAAGGACCCTGAAACTCGGAAGCCCAGAGTCCCCGAAGACTTCCCGAGGACAAGGCCTATAAGCATGGCCTTGGAATGGCTTTGGAAACGCGGCGTCTCGACAAGGCACCTGGGTTCCTTCCCTCCTCCCTCAGAACTCTGAAGCTTAGATCCTGAGCCTCAAGCCACTACGCGCTCAACACTCCACCCAGTGCCATGACTGTGGTGTTCATACGGGTCAGCTCATGCAGCAGTGTTTCAGTGTTTGTGCCCCCAAGCAGACAGAAAACAGCCGTAGCGGGAGGAGGAGGAGGAGGAGGAGGAGGAGGAGGAAGGGGAGCAGGAGGAGGGCGAGGACGACCACGACGAGCACAAAACACGACGAAAGATTCAGACGACGATAATATAATAAGTATAAGATACCTGTGGTAACAGTACTGCTGGGTCTCCTGCTGACAGGGTGATTTTGATGGTGGTGGTGCTAGTGTTGGTGGCGATGATAGCTGTGATGGTGAAGAGGCTGCCGCTGCTCTTGCTTCTGCCACATGTCGCCACTAAGAACACAGATGCTGATCTGTGTACTAATGCGGCTGCCGCTGCAACAGCAACAGCAACGACCGGCGCCGACACGACTAATGACTACTGCTACATGAGGCTACATGCATTTGGCTTTTGCTCCTCCTTTCCCTTTCTCCTATCCTCCTCTACCTCCACCTCCTACCTGTACTGCATACTACTGCGACGGCAGCTAGTGCTGTTTTTCACAACACTGCGATGTCACTACGACCATGTCCACGACAACGCTAGCAAGTCGTGGTCTTCCTCTTCCAACTGACATAAAGGTGCAGTATTGAGCTGCACGCTTTTACGAGGAGAGTGCTGCTACTGAATGTCCAGGATTCGCATTTCAGCTTGGCAGGTCACCGAGTTCATCAAGCAGAGTGATGCGCTGGCTGAAATGCTTGAGCCATGTCCTCAGCTGTTCAACAGAGCGGCTTCGGGGCTTCGAAGGCTTCGTCGATGCTTTCCAGGTTTTCATACTGATGCACAGGCCTGGTGAGGCAGGTTCCAGGCCTCGTGAAGGTCCCTGCACAATGTGGGGTTTTCGGGTCAGGCCTTTTTGCTGATGTTGCAAGCTGTGAAGCCAGGTATGCGCAGCTCTCAGCGATGACGCTGCTCACCTCGAAAGCCTTCCGGGAACGTGTCCTGAAGGCACCCTTTTGACAGACCGCAATAAGGTATAGGTATAGTAATGTATCCGTTTCGCTATGATCAGCTCAGGAAGCAGCCAGAACTTCAGCTATCTGTGAAGCCCTGCAGCGCTTGAACAGACGGAATCCTAAATCCTAAACCCCGATCTCTGATTCTGTCGTATTGTTGCTGTTGCTCTGCCTCAGGCCTTAGTGGAGATTCACACCTCTGTCCAGGCCTGCGGCCTGGGGGCGGGAGAGGGTAGCGCGGGTTCTCTAAAGACTTGCTTTTGGTAATCGGCAGAAGCAGTTCGACTTAGGTTCCACCGGAATGACATGAGGCTCCGGCGGCTTTCCTAAGTAGGGGTCAGAATGGCTAGTAGTAGTACGTACCCCTCTTACAGTCCGACTACATTTGTAGTATACGCCACCCAAATCCCTGATTCGAATTATTGTGGCCACCATATTAGCCAGCCGAGTGTGTTGAAAGCAAGCTGCTCCGTCAGCTTAAGGCTGGCGAGACATTGGGCTTCGAAAGCAGTTCCTGTACAACCTTGACACTATAGTATACGATAACATAAGATACAATGACAATATGATATGATATAATTCTGCTGTGCAATATATAGTATAGTATATAGTGTACCAGTAGTATATTGTGAATACAATATAAGGTAATGGAATATCTTCGGCGGCAATATCGGGGGTTGTGGATTCAGGTGGCCAGTCGAATGGAGGGGTTGGGGAGTGAATCGTGGAGCAAAGCTGGTTATGCACTATCGGTTCTTTACCAGCTACATGCATACACACATGCAATCATACATATGTGCATACCAACACAGAAACAGTTTTGTCTCTATGCCTGCAGCAAGGAACGAGTGTGGGTCGGATGGCACAGTGTTCCCTACCAGAATCCAAGTAGATATCGAATCCAACTGGCCACAGACCGAGTCCAAGGCGCCCAGGTCCGCCAAGCCAGATGATATTGGGGTTTAAGGTGTAGGTATCACTGTGACTTGAGATTGCCATCCTCATCCTGGGTCCTGCCTTATCTGCCACTATCCTTCTACTACTAGTATAATATAATATAATATAATATAATGTAATATAATATAATATAATATAACATTAGATTATATATGATAATATAGTATATAATATAATACAATATTATCGCCTCTGGGGAAGAAGCCCAGTCCTTGATCTCCCACAGGAAGTGAATCTAGCTGCACTGGCTCAGTGCTACTTCATCCTGGGGGAGCCTGGAGAGGCCTTTAGGGTTTATTTTTTAGGGTTTAGGGTTTAGGGTTTAGGGTTTATGGTTTAGGGTTTAGGGTTTAGGGCCACTTTTTGGCTTTGGTAAGTCCTCGCGCTTCGTGTTTCTTTGGTGTCGGCTACTCCTTGCCCCACAATGGCTGCGGGGTGGTCTTCCCGTGATGCCTCAGCATGGATTGGCTATGCCATGGGATTGAGTTTCGCGTTGGAGTATGGCAGAGTTGGAAGGGTGAACACTTCATAAGCCATGGGCCTTTGCCCAGGTCACTAAGACCTTGCGGTCTTTTGCCCGAAATCCCAATACTTGGCTCATCACGACGATGACGATGACGGATGACGACACTACCACCACTAGTGATGCGGTTGGTGATCCTTTTCATTGCCACTATTGCCTTGAACGCACCTTTGCTCTGACGAGCTCTAGCCGTGCTTCCTGGGCAGGTCGCCAAAATCTTGAAGGATTTGCTCGGACGCTCCGAGAAGGATCTGGCATGGCATGACACAGTAATGTAGGGGATAGTAATAAAGTTCACCCTCTAGTCCCTGTATATCTACAGTGTCATATACTCCAAAGGCCTGTTCTTTCTGAAGCTTCGCTGAGACCTCTCATGCTGGAACGATCTCTGTTGTTTTGGACTTCGACTTCTGTCGTGCCACTGGCCCTGCAGATAGCTGTGACAAAGAGGGCGAGAGTGCGGTTGCAGGAGGGCCGCGCTCTAGCCTACCAGATTGGCTTTGACATCGTCCTTGACTTACATACCTGCAAGAATGGCTGCCGAAAAGAACAAGCAGCCACACAGATGGTGTTGCCGATGAGTATGCTGAAGACGGGGACAACGATAAGCATCACAGTACTCAGTAGTCAGTTTCATGAGACTGATGAGGTTATTGCTAGCCGCTAGCTGTAGCAACAGTGTAGTAGTTGATGCTGCAGCAGCACGAGCAATGGTCGCGCCAATGGTGAGAAATGGAAGTTGTAGCCAGTTGTAGCGAGTGCAGATTCAATCGTAGTGCTCATGGCAGTGTTGGCTAGATAGTTGATACCAGAAGCAATCGTGCCTATGTCGTGATATCCGTGCTGGCAGTGTCCGTGGTAGATAAATCACTAGAATAGAGAGTGTTGCTGGCATGGATAGGAGTTTAAGACACAACTATTGCAGCATCAAGAAGATCCATCGCACAAGTACTACCGCTTTTCAAGACGAACAATGTCAGGGTAATACCTAGGATCAGCAGCTGGTTTCGGCTCTAAAACCTGAGCCCTGATCGCTTGTCCGACCGAGGTTGACAACGAAAGCCAGCACTTCTGCAATGCGGTGCTATCATCGCCGCTTCTCAAGCTCAAGGAGCTGTCTGCCGGCAGTCTCATCGCTTTGCACTTTTATATGCTACCGATGGTACTTTACTACTGTTTTCTGCCGCATTATGTGGAGCATGCTCGTTAAGTTTTCATGTCGGTTCAGTTGTCCTGACGTGATGTGATGCCTCGTTTTTCGACAGCTACGTCTCACTCATTCCAGCATTCCGTTATGTGATATCGGCTCCACGGCCTCTCCAAGACTCAGGGTTTAGGGTTTTGGTTTAGGGTTTAGGGTTTAGGGTTTAGGGTTTAGACACTCCAGCAACACATGTTGTAGCCAGCAACATTTGAACAGTGCGTGGCTTCAAGTCAAATTATTCAGCACAGACCCGTTTTGCAGAAAACCTTCGTAGTAAGATGCTCCGGACAACATCCTTCTATTGCCTATTGCAGATTTTTATGTAACACTTTGCGGCGTTGCAGTTCTTCCTACTGGGGCCCACATTTCATCGCAAAGCCAGTTTTCGACATGACATCCTGTTTTTGACATTACCATTGTGGCCACCAACTAGATACAAGAAAGAGTGCAAGAAGCTTCCGCGCATGAAACTTTCCACGCTGGCTGCGCCTCCCCTCCTCCCAGTCGGCTAAAGATCGTAAGCCCTGACATCCCTGACCCCAAGAAATTACCATGCCAGAAACGATAGACACCGACCCAGTCCGTAAAGTCACAAGCTCTGGAAGCTTAGCTCCCACAAGACCGTCGACCTACGGTTGATGATATAAAACCTTAAGGACCCTGAACTATAGGAATTATGGTATATTCCTTATTATGGGTACTGCAGGATTTAGATCATCAGCCGTAGGACGCAAAAGGCCCTGAACAACGAAGCCCTGCTACCTCTCATCCTCCTGCGAGTCGGCTTAGGGTTTAGGGCTTTAGCCCCTGCGCCCTACTTCCCACACACAGCTGAAGCAGGGATCCATCGAATTTCAAGGAAAACGATGCAAGGATGCTTGATTCGACACAGTGTTCTTCTTGTCATAGAACCCTAAAGCCCCTAAACCCTAAACCCTAAACCCTAAACCCTAAACCCCATTCCTATAACCGTAACGCCCCAAACCCCGAAAACAGAACCAGGAGCCGGCTCCAGCTCCCGAGCCTCCTGCGGCTGCGCCGGCGCCTGCCGAGGGGGCCGCGGAGGGCGCCGCGGAGGGTGCAGCCAACTCCTCGGTTCATCACCGGTAGAGGGGTTGAGGGTAGGGGTTTTGGGGTTTAGGGGTTTGGGGGTTTAGGGTTTTAGGGTTTTTTAGTTTGTATTTTTTTAGGGGTGTGTAGGGGTTTCGGGGTTTAGGGTTTGGGTTTTAGGCTGTATGGTTGCGTTTGGGGTTTGGAGCTTGGGTGTGGGGTTTAGGGATTAGGGACTTGTATTTATTGGGGTGACCAACCATAAGGACCATAAGGGTTCAGAGTTCCATTGTTTTAAGAGTTTCAGGTTTCAGGGTTCGGGGTTTTAAGGGGACTGTTATTGTGGTTTCTGGTTAAAGGGTGGTTCCATTTCCAGGGATCCTTGTGATGAGGATCCTACCTCCCATTTGGAATGTTTTGGGGCTCAGCCGAGGTAGCTCTTTCATGCTTGGTTCATCGAGGCGCACTCCAAACCCCAAGCCCTCAGACCCTTGAGTGAAGCTAAGCTCTAAGCCAAAAGACCATTTCGAAAACGAGAACCACCCAAGCCCCCAAACCCAAGGCAACAAACGAAACAGAGTCTAACCCCCAGACCCAGAGCCCAAAACCCTCAACCGCAAACGAAGACCACCAACACCCCCAAACCCCAACAGCCCCGTTCCTGCCTTACTTGAGGAAGCGGCCCCAGCAGAGCCGGCACCCCCGGCTGCTCCGCCGGTGCGCCCCGCAGCTGCGCCTGTCGTTTCAGTGGCTGGTCTCTAAGCTAGGATTAGTCTATTAGCTCTATAGAGTTTGTGTACAAACGCATTTTGCGGTTGTGGTGGTGGCGGCGGCGGCGGTGGTGGTGGTGGGAAGCGAGGGACATCCCTCTCGAAACTGTACTGGTCGTGCATTGCACTACAGCACGGAGGAAATGCAAGCCTTGCGCCCTATCGCCGTCTCTCCCTGACTCCAAGTCGATAGCATCATGGCCACAGAGAGCCTGACAAGCGACAAGTACCCTACTGTTTTGATCCGACAAGTTTGTGCCAGGTGGATGAAGGCCCAGTCATGTCGGATCAGGCCACGGGTACACGAGCCCTGCTTATTCAGATCTTCGGGTCAGAACATGAAGTGCACATTCGTTTGTTCAAGGCTTCGTGATGATTTGTAGATGATTGCAGCTGTGATGCTGGAGCAAAGCTGCTCACCCGTCTCTCCCGCTCTCTCCCTCTCTTGTTTCCCCCCCCACCTGTAAGCAAGTCGCACACCCCCCCCCCCCTCAGTCTGCCAACCAAACCTTGGCCCAAACCGCGGCATGTTATTCGTTCATTCATGCTCCTAAACCCTAAACCCTAAACCTTAAACCCTATTCTCCAGGAGAAGGAGGACCTCACTCTTCTCCGGAAGATTTTGTCAGGGCGCTCCTCAATTGACCTGCTGCAGCCTCGGGGTGCAAATCGGGGTTTGCAGTGCCCTAAACCCTAGGGTTTAGGGTTTAGGGTTCAGGCCTAATTCCCGAAGTCTGAACCCCAACCCCCTAAACTCCCCAAACCATAAACTCCTAAACCCTAAACCCCAATCCTTCTGCGCACTCTTGTTGGCACTCGAAACCACCAGTTAAAGGGAAATTACCACGTTGCTATAACCTCACCATGGTGTTACTATAAAGGTTGCCCGCTCCCGAGGCAGATGGAATTCTTGTACCGGAACAACCGGTCTGCCCCCGGCTCGGGATTTGGAACATCTCACGCTCCAGGGTCCTTCCTTTAATGGATCTATGATTCGGGTTCCTTTCTTCAGGCCAGGGTTCTATAAGTTAGGACCACCCTTGCCCCTTTTGGGCTATCGGCACCACCCGCCCCAATCTAAAATACACAATATGACAAAATCCTATTCACACTCTAGATCCCAATACTCCTATCTACCTAGGTGCCATAGCCCAAAATGGGCAAGGGTTCTCTCATAGATATTATTGGGTTCAGGGTTACCTGTTGTATTTGTACGAAATGGGCAAGGTAAGGATGCAGGGTGACGCTGTAGCTTTTTGAGCAGTTTACCCAAATGCATAGTTGCAGCGTGTGCATGATGAGGTCCACATGTTTGCTGCCACGCATGCGGTGTCAACTGCAGGCTATACTTCAGAGGTCAAGTGTGTAAGAATCACGAATTCAGAATGCTTCACTAACTTCCCTCCAGCCCGTGCCCATGGCAGACAGAAGCCGCTCCCCACTCAGGGAGGGCAAGTTTTGGTGGGTGCGAGTACAAGACCACAGGCCCATCAAGGTTTTTGCGACGGAGCTTGGTGAGCAACAAGATGTCGATGACCTCGTTTCAGTCGCACGGAGAAAATCCGAACTACATGTGGCTGCCGACAAAATGAGGCTTTACAAGAATGCAGATGCCTGTGATGTTGAGGATTCTGACGTTTCGGTCAACGAGATGCTTCCTGATGGCAATTCTGCAGGCAACCCCATCCTCATTGTCTTCGATGCACCAGAAGCCCCAGCACAGGTAGCATCTCGTCCCAACACATCCTCATGTTTTCCTTTTTTTGTTTAGGCTTAACTTCCCGCTTATCCTCACTACTTAGCCTATTTAGTCCCCTTAAGTAGTCCACGCTAGGAGAGTTCCTTGCTAGCATTTTGTTGGTGGGTTCGGTGCTTTCCATTACAGAATAGTTGCTGAATTTGTGAGTGTTTTGGGCACCAATGTTAGCCACAGGAGAAGCTGCAGAAAGTGACCGGAGTATACTGGTCTACATGGGCAGACGTGCAATTGGTTGAGATGGGCACATTCCGCTGCCGAGAAGATTGTCGCGCGCATTTGCCCGCGATCCCACGGAGCGACGCACATCGTTTTTTTTCTGACTGGACAAGTGAAGGCTTATCATCACGGCCCATCAGTTCATTTCATCAAGTGCGAGACAGACGTAACATTCTTGGTGGCAAAGGTGGACAAATCGCGCACATTCTGCCACACAGTGCAAGTTGCGCAGAAGTGTGGCAACCCGCTTTGGCCACACTTTTTGCAGATGATCCAAAGCAAACCGGTGGAGTTCCCCTCACCAAGCCTGTGCAAGGTTCCAAGGCCAGAAATCTAGAACGTTATTGTCTGAGGCATGTCAAATGGAACAAGATGTGTTTCTGGAGTGAGGCGGAGCTGTTTGACAATCGGCGTGCCATAGGGCTCATCCCATGCATGGATGTGCACAGTATGCTTGATTGGCATGGTGAGGC